GGTTAATTATTCATATTTCCCCATGAGCTGATTCGCTACAATTGTTAAGTACTGAAAGACATTCGGGCAGGCAGGTTCTTTACAGCTAATGACAAATCATTTTACCTATAGAATTATAGAAAGCCAAAAGGTGATGTCAAACCATATAAATTTATTTGGAAAATATAATTCTGTCATTTTAAGCAACTATAATTCTTTATTATTATTTACACTATTTCCAAATGTGTAAAACAAAAATGATAAAGAATGATAAATAACCAAGAATGAAAAGAAATGTAGTCAGCAGACGCACACAGACACACCAATATACAGTCTGACAACAATGTTTAATCAAAATGTTTTGGTCCATATTGACATTATAGCATCAGTTGCTGCAGATTTGTTGGCTGCACATCCATGATGCAAATCTCCTTTTCAACTACATCCCAAAGATGCTCTATTGGATTGAAATCTGGTGACTCATTGCCATGTTCATGAATTTGATATTAGTTGAACTTTGTGACATGACATTATCCTGGTGAAAGTAGCCATCACAAGGCTAGCAACAATGTAGGCAGTGGAATTTAAATGATGCTCAATTGATACTAAGTAGCTTAAAATGTGCTAAGAAAATATCCCCCACACCATTACATCAGCACATTGAATGCAGAATGGATCCATGCTTTTGTGTTATTTATGCCAAATTCTTACCATACCATCTGAATATTGCAGCAGAAATCAAGACTCATCAGACCAGACAACCTTTTTCCAATTCTCTTTTGTCCAATTTTGGTGAGCCCAAGCAAATTGTAGCCTCAGTTTCCTGCTTTTAGCTGAGAGGAGTAGGACCCTGTGTGCTCTTCTGTTGCTGTAGCCCATCTGCTTTAAGATTCAATGTGTTGTGCATTCAGAGATGGTCTTCTGCATACCCCAGTTGTAACAAGTGTTTATTTGAGTTACTGTTGCATTTCCATCATCTCAAACTGGTCTGGCCATTTTCCTTTGACCACTGGCATCAACAAGACATTTTGTCCACAAAATTTCCATCACTTGATATTTTCTCATTTTCAGACCATTCTCTGTAAACCCTGTGTGTGAAAATCCCAGTAGATCAGAGAAGCACGCCTGGCACTAACAACCATGCAACATTCAAAGTCCCCATTCTGATGCTCGGTTTAAATTTTTGCAGATCACCTTGACCATGTCTACATGCCTAAATGCATTGAGTTGCTGGCATGTGATTGGCTCATTAGATATTTGTGTTAAAGGGCACCTATTATGCGCATTTTGACAAGATGTAATATTGATCTTGGGTGTGCCCAGAATGTGTCTGTGAAGTTTCAGCTCAAAATACCCCACATATCATTTATTATAACATCTGGAAAATGTCATTTTTGGGGCTTGTCTAAAAAAGCTGTTTTGGTGCGTATCACTTTAAATGCAAATGAGCTGCATATTCCCACCCCGTCTCCAGAAGAGGGTGTAGGATATACATCTCTGCTTTGCATACCTACAGCAATAAACAACCGTTGAAAGCAACATGACTGATAGAGAGAGCAGGGGTTCAAATGTACATAAGGGAAGCCAAATGCACTGAAAGTGTGAAAGTGGGACGAAACAGCGCAATATTACAGAGCTTGTGTCGTGCTGACCAGTCATCGGCGTGGCTCACTGCACCAAGCCATGCAACCAATCTCGACCTAATCTCACAAGCGCTGCACTGATCAATTAAAATACTTCTATAACATACACACAATGCAAATAACTATAACAACATGACATTCACAAAGCAGTCTGGAGTGAAACGACTTGCGCAGACATAAACTTATTTTGGTAGATTTTGAGGCCCATTACCTTCAAAAAAATAAATAATTCACTGCATCCTCAGTGGCTCAGATGTTGGGAGAAAATAAAGACTCTAATGTTCAGTCTTACATCCAAACACAGTGCACCGGGATTGCTTACGAGGCATTGTTTACATTACAGCTAGGGCTTGAAAACAAAACAAAACAAAAATCAATCGGTTCACTCCGAGCAGAATCGATGTTTTAACGTTTCTGTTCCTGCGTTCCTCTATATTATTACCGTTCCGAAACCGGAATTTTTTGAGTAGAAAAAAATACTGCATACCGCACATATCTTAATATGTGTTCTGAAGATGAACAGAGGTCTTATGGGTTTGGAACAACATGAGGGTGAGTAATTAATGATGAAATTTTCATTTTGGGGTGAACTATCACTTTAATGTTGGCCGGCAGAAGCCGCCAAGATGCTCCTCTGTCACGGATCATGGAAAATGAAACTTAAATCTGTCACAGGGGTTATTGGATTTATTTACGCATGTTAAAAAATATTTATTAAAAGTATTTCTTTTCACATTTTTATTTACAACATTATTATAATAGGCTATACTATTAACTTATATATTAAGTTCTATGTGAAATCAGACACTGAGCACCCCCATATAGCCAAAATGTTATGACCCTCGTTTCACAACACCTCTGAGAAGATTTGACTGTGAGATTGGTACTTGAATCAGGCTCCCTCTATCGAAGCATCAAATCTTCTACTATTGATGGTCACCCCTAATAAAGATTTTGAAAGCCTATTTTGAACATTTGCTTCAACATTTTTGGAGATGTGAGCTTCAGGGCGTCAGCAGCCATTCAGTGCTCATGAACCCGCCGAAAGCAGCCTTATTTCTGGCAGTTCTTTTAGAATTTGCCGCCGACTCTGATGTCTCTATAGTGGTTAAACATGAGATATAACTTGTTTTGGGTAAATCTACAGGCAGTTGTTGTCTCAATAATTTATTATTTGTTCCAGAGCATATCGTTTTAGATATGGGCAAAGTTTCATAATTTTTTCATTTTTACCTTTATGCTGTATCAGAGCGATGCCTTTGTACTTTTAACTGAATTGTTTAGCAACTTTTATAATTGTTGTTTATTAAATATTATTGTTTAATAAATATTTTTTATATTAATAGTAGTATTTAATAATAGTTTTTGATATTGAGAAGTGGTCTTTTGAAAGGGAACAGAACAAGATTGTAAACAAGGACATTATTTTACTTTAAACACCTTGTATGCAACCAACAAATGCATTTACAGGCCTGGGAAATCCCTTTAACAGTTGAAGAAAATAGATAGTTGAAGAATGTGTAGATAATCACATTCACTCAGTCCATCTCTTTCTCATAATACTCCACTCTATAATACAATAAGCTTTTAACTTCAGTAAAGCAACTCAGAGTTCCTTACTAGCTTTAAAATTACATTTTCAAATTAGTAGCAGAGGCTTGTTAAACTGTCAATTTGATATTTGAGTCTGTGGCAGAAGGAAGTATTTCCCCACACAAAAGGGTTTTTTAAGAAATTATGTGGTTGTTTTATATACTTGTGCTGTTGAATTGTTGTATAAGTCAATCTCTTCATCTAGACATGCAATATTGTGATTCGGCTGTAGGCATGGGGCCGCAGGCTCCTCACTCCCCACTGTAACTGGAGATTTGGCAAGAAAGCAGAACTCAGTCAGGGAACTTGCGCTGAACTGAAGTGATTGACAGCTCCAGTGATTATAATGAGAATATTCTTTGACCACTTTCTGTTTAAATTGCACAAGTAAACATTAGCTAAACCATTGAGTAAGCCACTGTTTTAAGAAAAAGGTATTATTTGTGGTATTATTACTGATCTTTTGAAAAATGTTGGAAACAGTGTTGGACAAAAAAAGAAGAAGAAGAAGAAGAAGAAGAAGAAAAAAAAAAAACACTGAGACATTACCATACATGATAATGACGAGTAAATAATGCATTTTAATTTTTGAGTGAACAATGCCTTTAAGCATCTTGACCAGGAAACAATGTTGTTTCCAACATTAGCATGTGCTTGGGGTGGAACTATCCATTTATTGACCCTATTTGGGGTCCATCCTATTTGAAACTATTTTTGCAGTATGGTTTGGAGAAGTGACACACACACACACACTTCATTTTAAAGAAAGAAAATAGGCTACTAATCACAAAACGATATGCAAAATGCTTAAAAGAAAGAAGACCAATCAAAATGTACAATGCAAATACTACATTGACGTCATAGTCGTGGATCATATTTTTTAATTATTTTCTTTTTGTTTCTTAAAATGCATAATATTTACAAAAAGGCAAAATAAAGGTTGAAATTTGAAACAGAAGTTAAAAGTTTAGTTCAGCTACAAAAAAGGGAGAAGAGAGCCCAATAATTGGGTGCTCTAATATTTATAGGCAAACACTGAGAGCGCTTGAGAAGGCAGAGTGTTCCAATGAATGAATGAATGATAATAATAAACACATGAAATAAAATTAAATGAAATATTTATAACATGTATAAATAATTTATTAATAATACATTTAAAATATAATTAATTAATTATAATTTGTTCTGACGATTCTCAAAATATCTGAAAACCGGGGCTCTCTCTGTTCTGAGCATGTGGTCTTTGTTTTTTGAGTTTGTGTGGCTGAATCCATTCGGCTGTCAGTGTGAGGCAGCAGCACTAGAGTCAGTCCACTCTGAATGTGCCACTGGGTACAGACGGGCGATTCATCATCTCTCTTTCTCTCTTCAGTTCAGGATGGCAGAATAACAGGGTGAAGGCGGAGATATCTGCATTTGCGTATATGGGAGGCTGTTATTACAGCCAAGTTTAGTTTCCACTAGAGTTCAACACTCTAGAAACACGCTTGTAAGTGCGTATTTGGAAATGAAAGTGAAGCGATCGGAGATGTGGAGAGCCGCTGTCCTGCTGCTGTTAACCGGCTGCGTGTGCGCGAGTGTGCCCGAGGAGCCCGCGGACAGAGCGGCTCCATCTGACGGCTATTGCAGCTGGATAACGCGGGCTCAGCCTCACGGAGCTGGAGGCAGGAGGGAGGGTTTCAGTGAGTTCAGACTGCGAGTGGAAGGAGACCCGGAGCATTATCAACCCGGCAGCACTTACCGAGGTACATGTCACTGTTTCAGCTGTTGTCAGGACCACCGGCGCGGACAGAGACGCTTCACAGTGCGCGCGCTGGAGATAGGGGCTTTGTCTGAAAAACTAACATGCTGCCTACATAGGCAGCATGTTGGGGCATCATATTGCCTAAGTGATAGTGGAAACTGGGTTTTATTGTGATGCGGGGAAGTTGTCTCAGTAACTAATGTTTTAATTTAAAAGTCCACAAATATTTGTTCCCTGGCAGTGGTCATAAATGTTTATTTATTATTTTTTTTAATGAAAACACCCCCCCCCCCCCCCC